TTCCGATATGCTTCCTCCGCGCCGCGCGTCGAATCTCCTTTTGGAGTGGTGGGGGTCAAGAAAGAGGAAACGGTTCGATAACCAGTTTTATTGTAACATGTTTCGGTCGTGCTCTCCAACGCGAAAAGCTACTTTGATTAACGTCCTCTTCTATGCATAATATAAATTCAGCGCCACGATACGAAGTTGTTTCATGTTCTTTTTTTGGGTTTCGCGTTTGCTTCCACATGTGTGTAGGAGAAAGCAGCTACCCGTCGCACACATAAAAAGACCGTTTTTTCGAGCTTTCCGAGTACACCAAGGAACACACAGAAAAATTCGCAAAAATGTGTGTGTGTGTGTTACGCTATGAAAAAACTGCATTATTAAACGGCGCGTGTAAACGCTTGTGCCTCGTGATTATCTCGGCTTTGCCAGGCCATAGTACGTGCTTCTCGTTAAATTTTCATTTTTTTTTATTATTCATCCTCCTGTTTTATGCTTTTATTACGATCGTCATGGTTTGTCGTCATCGTCGTCGTCGTACTCGTGCTTGTAATATATTTTCGGCTCTACTTTTTTTTCACTCCCGAGATCGAATTACTTGAAAGCCGCCGCCAAATCATAGACAAGGTCTAATAAACTAGTTCGCGTCGTATAATAATAATAAAGGAGCGAGTTGAAAGGGGGAAAAAAACTCGAATCAGCGCGACACATCGCGACACATAGGAGGAGAGCTTGATGCAGCCGCAGCCAGCTTAAAGATAATATTTTCCTTTCGTTTCCGAGTCAAGAGAGAGATCGATTACTCTTTCGCGTCAGTCTTTTTCTCTTTCATTTCTATCAAATCTGTTTTCTTTTCTCTCCTCTCTTGGTCGGTTCCCCCCTCTCTCTCTCTCTCTTGCAATCCTCGTGCTGGGCCTCGTTTCCTATTACGGAATTAGCGTTCCGCGCGCGCGGGCACAGGATTATCGCCACATAATACAGGCACACGGGTAATATAACTGTACTTTAAAGCGCGAGTCGAACCGAGCGAATGGCTTAGATTGTATATATAAAGGTATTGGTCGAACGCAAAATCATTACTATGCGCGCGCTCGGAAATTTCTTCTTCGCTTTTTTTTTCTGCTCAAATTATCTCAAGAGCGGATCATCGCTGCAGCGTGTGTACCCGCATAATCGGAACGTGCGCGGATGCGAGAGAGAGGCGAGCGTACGAAGCCCAGGTGAATTATCGAATGCACTTGGTTCTGATCATTATCGTCATCATCGACGCATGTATGGAATGTATCGCCGCGAATCGACGAACCGAAAGAGAGAAGAAGAGAATAAGAAACAGCGCAGCAGCAGCAGCAGCAGTACCTACTAACGGCGGAGCTCTACGGTGGAAAAAAGAGGTAAAAATAATCCCGTGTGCGCGCCGAGAGTGCACGAGAGAAGAGAGAACGAGAGTAAGAGGGAGAGGAAGAGAGAGGGAAAAGAGTAGGCACTGTAGCTGCTGCTGCTGCTCCGATCGATGATGGGAAGATAAAAGGCAGCGACGGCGGCGGCGGCGGTGGCGAGCATCACCGCCGCCGCCAACGCCGACGATATAATGTGTGGCAAAGTCGTCCGTAGCTGTTATTTTGTGTATAAGCGAGTGAGTGAGAGAGAGAGAGAGAGAAAAAGGCCCTGTGTGTATGATGCAGTGTGTTGTTGTATATATAATAAACGTGTGTGTGTGTGTGTGTACGAGAGCTCTCGTGTATACACGTTCCTCTCTTAAACTCCTCGTGTGTTTCTTTTTTGCCCTCATGCCTTGGCAAACGCCCCCACGAGATTAGTATTCGTTATGAGGCGCGCGCAAGGCTGCCACGGGAATTTATAAAAATCCTCATATCTATTGCCTTTTATTCCCTTTTTTTTATTTCTTTTTTTTCTTGCTCTCGCTCTTACTCTCTTGTCCTGCATACTCCGATCGCGCGCAGCACACACAACGTGTAGTTTTTTCATAAACGGCGCGCTTTAAATCCTGCTAGCCGCTCGGACGCAGGATGCATGCTGGGCTCTCTCGGTTCCGATGCAAATAATCATCGCGTATACCTACACACACGCGTGATGTCTTTTTCAAAATTCCATAGACGCGCTCTCTCTTTCTTTCTCGAAGTTTTATGCTATTAGAACGCAAGTTGTAAAACGCGCGCCTGCCATCTAACATAAATGTGAGAATTTGTGCGCTCCGCCGATTGTTGACTTTAGCATCAACATATATTAAAAGCCCGTCGCGAGCTCGTCGCTATTTGTGTGTAATAGGATGACTAATCTTTTTTTCTACATATAGGTATATATGGAAGTATTATAGCGTTGTGCCAGTCGCACATATAATATGAGAAACCCGCTCGCTGCTCTCGGGTCGGCTCGGCTCGCACGTTCTTCGCTGAACCGCGTGCAGCGCGCGCTGAGTGTTTTTAAAACGACTAAAGCGAGCGAGAGAAGGAATAAAAAAATGTACCCTTTTTTCAACCGTGTGTAGGCCTACACATAGTGTATAGGCATACTACTATACTATACGGCACGCACTCGGCAAACCAAAAAGTTATTGACTTATGTTTGTGTACTCAACTGCTGGCTGCCGCCTGCGCGCCAATGGGCAACTCGTTCGAGGCACACACCAAGACGCTGCTCGTCTCGTCTCGACTCCGCTCCGAAAAGTTCTCAGAAACGAAAACAAAACGCGCGGGTATGTGTATACACACGCAGGCACGAAAATTATTACACACGCGCAGCGAACGGGCAAAAGCGCGATATTCGTGTATTCTCTGTAAAGCTTCGCGCGCAGCTTAAACACATCTCTCTCTCTCTCTCTCTCTCTCTCTCTCTAAAGTGTGTTTTTGTGTGCCGTGCCGTTCGCGTAACAACATGTGGGCGCGCGAGCGAACACGAGGCATTATACGCGTTCACAATGAGATTGAAAAATAATTCTCAGTTGTCTGCGCGTGTGCGCGAAACGCTTTAAAACTACGTTACCTACTTGTTATTTTCACGCAGAAAATTGAAAACTCCCTCCTCCCTCTACCGGTTGGAAAGCGTGTAAGCGCGTGGGCGTGTGTGAATAACATAGAGAGAACGAGAGAAGAAAATGCGAGCGAGCTTTACGAGAGAGTGCTAGCGTAGCGAGGGCCTCGCTGACTGCGAATATCGATCAGATTTGCCAATGACTACATAGCACGAAAATTTAATAAGGTCAACGAACTAGAACTAATCTCTTTAATTTTCCATAATACGAGGTGGCAAAAGCAACGACGAGACCTGCCGCCGCTGCTGCTGCTATAGTGCACAGAGGGCGGGGGTGGCGAAGCAGAGGTAGCGGCGGGCGACGGGTAAAAGAGGGAGGGCATTTTACTATCGTCTAGTATGAAAGGGTGCTTGTGTTGCGTTTTATAAAATTATTATCGCCATCGCGCGCCCGCGCACGGCTGCATTATTATATTATTATTATACTATATATACGAAAAATGTCTTTGCAATGTGGTGAGCTAGCCACGGGGTTTTAGTAGTAGCAGCAGTAGTAGTAGTATAGAGCTGCATAAAGACCGATAAAAGATAGTTGACGCTGCAAAAATAATAATCAATGCGCGCGACGTTAATTACCCGAGAGCTGCGTGCGCGCAAATTTCGCGAGTGCATAATTCATGCGGCGCGGATAATATACCTAAAATAAATGAAGCACGAGTATATAGAGCGAGGTGCGTGAATTAAATACGGAGCTGCGGCTTCATAGCCATATGTTTTTTTTTTCCTTTCATTTTTCATTTAATGTATTCACCGTGGGAGTTCGGACGTTGAGAACGCGACGTTGGTCGGTGGTGTAATTCAAAGTGACAAATCTAAACTCGTCGAGTCGAGTAGTTTCGAAGATTGCGGTCAGTCAGAAGCAGCGCTGGCGATCTCCTCCGCGAGAGGCTCTTTTGTGCCTGCTGCACGATGGTCGTCTGACAGGAGTTCCGTATAATGCCGAGTCGAGCATTGCGTTTGTGTGCTGCTGCTTGTTGCGTATATATACCAACACGATACAACTCGAAGCAGCAGCAGCAGCAGCAGCAGCGCAGATCAAAAGACGCCGTCTGTGCAGTGGGCATTATGCGTTTACACACGAATGTATAGAGTAGGTATATATATAGTATAAGTTGTGACGTCTGGTCTTCGGACAACTCTCTCTGGCGAGATGCACTGCGAGAGCAAACATAATATACAACAACTCGACAATAGTCAGTCCTTTTCATCGGCCAGTGGTAGTCGTAGTGGTAGTAGTGACAATTTCTACGACATTAAATCGTATCGCGTTTTCTTCTCATCCTTAACATAAATATTATGCGCTCGCAGAGAGCCCCAGTCGACAGTTCTTGTATACTCTCGCCGAATTCAAATATATACGAAGTTACGAATTTGCGCGCAGGTCGGAAAAGTCTCGAGCGCAGTAGCTACAGCAGCTACAGCAGCAGCAGCACGCGTTACACTTCATCATAATCATTTCGTGCGCAGTGCAGTAGCGGAGCACTAGCAGCAGAGCACTAGCAGAAGCAGTAAACAACGGAAACACTGGCTGCATATATACACAAAGTTTGCGAGTAATAAACTTTCGCATTATGCACGGAGTAGAGAGAGAGGCTGTGGGTAGGGTAGTATAGTAGTCGTAGTAGAGGGCAGAAGAGAGAGAGCTGCAATGCGAGCTAGCGAACAATGCTTGTCTTTTATTATAAAACGCGAGCGCGGCGCACACAAACACAAACGCGCAGCTGCGTGCAGTAGTCGTCGTCGTCGTGTACTAAAAACTGATTATGAATTTCTCTCTCTCTCTCTTGGCAAATGAGTATAAACGCAGATAGAATGTGTATAGGATGCGAGAGACGTGAACAGGGGGGCGTTTTCAAAAGGTGAAAAACAAGACTCAACGACGCACAAGGCTAACGCACAAAGTGCCACGAAGAATATAGTATAGTAGAGAGAGAAGAGATAAAAGGATGAAAAGCTTCGAGACTCACCTGACGTGCCTCCTCGGCAGCGGGGGCGGCACCGGATTGTGATAGTTGTTCATCATCGCGTACGAGTCGCGGTCCTGCTGATGCTGATCCTGCGGGCCGATCTTCTGCTGGGCCTGCTCGTAGCTGCTGTCGAGCTCGTCGAGCCGCAGCAGCTCGGCATCGCGGGGCGAGTGCAGCTCGCAGTGGGTGACGTGCAGCAGCGGCCTCAGACTCGAGCCGCCCTCTCCTCGCTGGCCCTGCTGCACCACGTCGGCCAGCTGTTGCGAGCCGCCGACGCCGCCTCGGCCGGTCGTCGACTGTTGCTGGTCTAGATGCAGACTGCCACCAGCACCATTAGCCGGATGATCTAGGCCGTTGGCGAGGCGGTACTGGTGCTCCTCGCCCCAGATCTCGAACTCGCCCGCCGCGGCATAATCGGCGAAGCCCGACTGATGGTCCTGGTGATGCTTGGAGTTGCTGCTCCTCGAGCCGGCCGTGGTGATGCCGGTTGCGACACGGCTCGCGGCCGTGCCTCCAACTAGTCCGCCTGCGACTCTGTCCGAGTGTCCACCGCTCGAGTGCTCGAGGCTCGAGGAGCCCGACCCCGAGCCGGACTCCTTTCTGCGTTTACGACTTATTTTGGGGCTCTATTATTGCGGTCTCGACAGCGGAGCGCGCGCTTCGGGCCCGCTCTGCTATACAGATCACAATCGTCGATGTCGATTTAACAATTAATTACAACGACACTTGGTCCGTACCTAACGCTCGGTAGGTAGTGGTCGCCGTTGATGATGGTCGACGCTAGTTGTGTGACTCGTTAGCGCAGATCACCGGATATAGCTAGCGATGACACTCACAGAGTCGGTATTATTATTATAATTATTTTGGCCGCTCTTGATAATCACTAGCGGGTGGTGGTGCATCGTCGCTCAATAATAAACAGTCGTTGCGAACGATGATGATGATGCCGCTGACGCTGCAGGATCGATCATTCGCGTAGACGAGAGTGAGAGAGGATGCGCTTGTGGAACGGGGGTGTGTGCACCCAGAGCGAGTACAGAGCAGTTGAAACACGCTCACTCACTGATATACGCACACACACTTGCACTCACGCGTATACACACTATTGGGGCTGCGGAGCCTTAATTGGGTCAGCGCCAGATGTAGTGCTGCTGCTGCTGCTGCTGACGTTCATATCAGCGAGGCGCTGCTGCTGTTGTTACCGCTGCACCGTTGGTCCTTGTGCAGCATCCGCTGATCAACTGTCAGCTTTGTTAATGTAATTGTAAACTTCACCGATAAAAAACGAAAAACAGAATAAAACCAAAAACAAACACAAACACAATCGGAAAAAACGAATCACTCACTGTTACATTCACAAAAACAAATAAAAACTAGTTCGTACTTGTTTTACACAAGGGATAATAAACGGCAATAAACTGCGCGCACAGGATCGAACTTGTCGAGAATATGCACGAATCGAACGACGATTCGAATATAATATAACTTCAACTGTTTTAGTCCAGTCCAAGCCAGTATACACACTCGTGCGCGAGAGTGCAGTCAGCTACAGTGGATGTACACGCAGGACTATTCTCGTGCGCGCGGGGGCTGATGCACGTTCTCAGTAGCTTCGAACGCACACGATTTCGAACGTAATATTTATTTAAATTTATTTTGCACACACCGCACTGTATTCTATCCTATCTATCTGATACAGTGTGTGTGACAAGAGATAGGCGTCTCGCGCGCGCGCGCTCTCTCGACTATACTAGTCAGTTTGTCAGTTTTTGTAACGTGTGTTCGAACGCGAGTGACGAGGCGCGTCGTTCGAACGCTTCCGAGAGACTAGTCGGTAGTACTCGGTCGAGTCGAGGGCCGCGAGGGGTTGCTGCTCTCTGCTGTGTGCTGCGCCTTTCTCTCTCTCTCTTTCGCTTTCGCGAACTGCGCGAACTGCTGCTGCTGCGGTAGTAGCTTCCCCCTCTCCACCTCCTCTTCTCTCGCTTCTCTCGGTTCTCTCGTTCGCTCTCGCGCGTTCGTATATTCGGCGAGCCTACTGTGTTCTATACAATCGCGCGCGTACGGCAAAACTCGGCTGTGCTCGGCTCGCCTGCCGCTATATCTATATCGCGTACGGTATGGCAGCGCAGTCCACACTCGGCACTCGACGTCTGCACACGCAGCGCCGTGCCGTGCGCATGCGAAAACGTCGGCGGAGAATTCTGCTGCTGCTGTTGTGCTCTGTCCGTATTCTGTACTCTGCAAGCCGCCCCCGCGCCGCCGCGTACCTATACTACCTCTCGCGTCCTATACACTACACTTTTCTCCTGCATGTGCATACCGTATAGTCCATCTCTCTCTCTTCTTCCCTCCCTCCTTTCGTTCGCCTGCATGTACACACTTGCACACACACACTCGCGTCCGATCCTGTTGGTATGCGTCCGTCCGTGTGTCCCTATACGCACATATGCGCACGGGGTCATTGCGCGAGATGGTCCTCCCGCTTTCATCTATATACACACATACGCACACGCGTATATACGTGTTTATATAGGACGGTTGGACTTGCGCAAGCCGACTGCATCGCACGATGCACACACACCTACACGTACGCGCATCGGATATGTCCTTTATAATACATACACATAACCCGCCCGCATCTCTCTCTCATACAGTTGCATATGTGCATTTTTAATATAATCGAAGCTTTCCAAATACGAGAGACTGGACAGTCGACTTGCGTGCGCAAGGTTGACGCTGCTGTTGCTGTGACGCAGCTCACACGCACGATATTATTTTATATTATATAAAATATCCCGCGCGCGCAACAATGTGTTTTATATTGCGCGGTGATTCTGCGCTTTTTGCCTCCCTCGCGTGCAGTACTGCATGGTGCAATCGCATATAAGCGCCTCACGCTGCGCGTCGCTCTGCTTGCAGCGCACATATTTTCCATCTCTCCTCACCACGCGAGCGTGTTTGTCGAGAGTTGCGTTTGAGCACTTGTGTGTGTGTGTGTGACACGCGTGCAGCAGCAAAAAAAAGAAAAAAGGAAAAATTTAACGTTAAAATGCAGCCAAGCACACGACAACAACACGGCGGGACGCGGCAGCAACTACGAGGAGGACGACGACGACGATGATTATTCGATTAAACTTTCATTATAAACGTTACGACGTTGTGTGCGCAGCGGCTCGTGCACCTATATTGTAAAATACGTACATATACATAGGTATACGGCTTCCCTTGTGTACTGCACTTATATACGCGCACATACCGGACAACCTGTCAACTAATGCATTCCGCCCGCACACGCCGTTTGCTTATAACGTGCAGCGTCCTTTATTTTGTTTCCCCCTCTTTTTTTTCACTCGACTGCGCGGAAAAAACTTATTCAACTTGTTAAATATTTTTCCACAAAAGTTTAGAGAAAACTCGACGACTTTCGCGGGATGATACGGACGCGAACGCAAATATAAGGCAGCAGCAACAGCACAGGGTGACGACAACATCTTAATAGAGTACATTACGTTTCCGGCGGCGAGCTCGCGGTGTCTTTTAATCGAAGCTCGCAAAGACATCAACGGGATAAAGATGAAAGTTAGCTAAACATTGTTAAAAAAGCAACATGCATGCATATAGGAAAAGGATTTTGAAAAAAGGAGGAAAAAAGAAAGTTCTTGGGAAAGAGCGACGTGACTCGTTGTTTATTTTGGCCTCGTCTCTCTCTGTCTGTCTAACGCGCCGAATTGAGACGAAAATACGTAAAAATTTGATGATCTCCTAAAATTCGGCTGCTCCAAATCCGGACGGGGGCTCTTTATCAGGCCGATACTTAAAATATTATATCCCCGAAATTAATATAGATGAGTAAACGCATTTCTTGGGCGCAGCAGACTAGCGGACTAGCAGCAGTGAAATTGTTTTCTTAATCGAGGAAAATCTGCCGCGCTACACATAATATTCCCAATAATCGATTATAATAAAGTGTACAAAAGTTATTACGATATAAAGTCGTTGGCTTGGCTGCGCGAGTAATGGGGCCAGGGCTTTTAACTGAATTTCAAGTACAACAAGCGTCGCCGACGTCGTCGTCGTCGTTGTTTTTTTTCTTCTTTTTTTTGGCTCTCGTGTATTTTAAAACCTGCTCTCTATCTGTATGTCTCTCTCTCTCTCTCTCTGTCTCTTTCCACGCTCGAAAATGGCCAGAGCTATAGCTAGGCTACTGCTACAGCGAGTCGATGAATGAAAGTACTTTGTTTTGACTGAAGCGTGTGCGCGTTCGGTGGCGCGCCCCTCTTGGGGTGTAAACAGAGAGAGAGAGAACCCATCCTATATAATGTTGTAGCCGTGTTACGCACGATGCAGTCGAGTTTATTTCGCGAGACAGCGACACAGAGGCAATGACGATAATCACGATGACGACGACGACGACGACGATGATGATGATGACGATGATGTACGCACGTACAAACGTATGTAAATTCGTTTGTTTGTACATAGACGCACACGTCGCATGCAGTGCACGCGCGGGGCTGCTCTAGCTTTACGCTCGCACATAGTACACCTCTATACACGCGTGATCTAGTGTAGTCCTATATGTATGATGATGGCAGGCAGGCAGACGGCTAGGATATGGCAGGAATAGGAGGGAGGGGTGGTGGCGTATTATGCATGTGTGTGTGTGTGCGTCGGTGTGCTGCTGCTGCATAGGGTGCAAAGCACGTTTGATTCAAATTCTTGTATGTGAACTTTCACCTTTTGCCGTGCGGCAGCTAACTCGTATACTCGCTGCTGCTGCTACTCTGTATGCACGCCCGGTATCGCACACGACGCCCGTACGTATGCATGCATGTATGTATGTATATATGAGTAGCGCGCGGCACATACGCCCGGTGCTTTGGCCCCGACGACGACGACGACGACTCATATACGAGGCTCCGAGGCAGCTTGGCGTGCGTATATACGTACCCCTCCTCCTCCACCCCCCGCGCAAGTCTCCTATTTAATATATACACACATACACATTCTGGTATTTCGCGCATATCAGTCCCTAATATGCGTGGCTGCGCCCGAGCCCATGTATACGAGTGCTGACTTACGTATGGTGTGCCGTACGAGATACATACGTAGACACACTCACGCGATAGGCATTTTCGAGCCGAGCAAAGATGTGTTGGTGTATGCGAGGGTGGAGAGAGGACGGAGGCGCGTTGTGTACTAAATTGCACGAGGCATGCGAGGGAGGCTCTCTCGCCGCCGTTGCTTCTACAGGTCTGAGAGTAAGAGAGAGAGCAGAGCGGAGCATTGAAAGCCTCCGATTCCATCAGTTTGTGCGCGCCTATAGTAGTACACGGTACACACAACGCGTGTATGTATAATGTATGCTACGACGCAGTGTGTATAGGGCAACGCGGCGGAGGGCCTTTCCACGCGCGCGTCTCTATGTATACACACGCACATACACACATTGAAGGTTACATAAGAGGGAAAGCAGATTACCAAACGCGAGGAAGAGAGAGAGAGATTTTTGATGTTTAGCTTGTTGCGCTCGTTAATAATTCATGCGCAAGCCCTCCTCCCTCCCTCCTCTTTGGAGCTATGTAAACCCTCTTTTGCTCAGGCTGCTGCTGTTGCTGCTCCTCTCCACCTCGAGGAACTCCCAAGCAAATTCTTCGGCCCCGATGAATGCGTGCCGAGATTTTTACCTGCCTCTCTATCTCTCTCTCGCAAATTATACTCTCTACTGCTGTCGCTACTTCCACTTGCCTATGCCAACATCAATATAAACGACGAGCAGCAGTAGAGCCATCAACGAGATTTCGAAGCGAGCAAAAGAAGGAGGCGTCGAAAAGTCCCTTTAAATGTCAATTCACGCGGGCTTATATTCTTCTTTACGTTTATATTTGCCTCGTGTCTCGTA